TGGAATTCTGAAACTTGAGAATGAGTTTAAAAGGATCTTCAAAAAAGCCTCTAATAATGGGAATGACTAAGGAACCGGCAGAAATCCCGGTTCACGATTCTAAGGTTTGAATTTATTTTTAAAGGTTGTCCATAAAACAATTTAGAAATGACATCTGGGAAATATTTACCAATATATTTAATAGATTGTTTTTAGATGCTTCACCTTAGAGTTGTACTCAACTAAAAGTTAAAAAAATCGTCCTCCTATCTCCCTTCCCAAGGAGACAGACAGATATCTTTATAAAAGGAATAATTTTCTTGTTCGTTGCAGTTCCTGGAATTATCTGACATTTAATAAAAAGATGACTGGTGTTCAGTTGACAGAACTGAGTAGCCCTTTTTTTTTTCCCCCTTTGAAATTATTTGTGAAAACCAGGCAGTCGTGTTTCTCCTATCTCAAATTAAAAAATAAAATCCGGCAAAAATGGCCTGTAGTAGAAATAACTTACTGATAGCTTATGAGGAAAAAACCCCACTTTGCAACCAGTGAAGATTTTATTTTAGACTTTGAATTACAATTCGCTGTAGGAAAAGCATATATGAAAAGAGATCCTGACAATATTCTTTAAAATATGACTGGAAGACATTCTGTGACCATATTGGGGGAATTCTAAGAAGTTCGTTTACCAACTTTGTGCAGCAAAAAGAAATTTCCATAGCTTCCCTTGAACCACATGGAATAGCAAAATTGCTTTCAAAGAACATACATAAAAATGTAATGGGACCCTTCCATAGAGACTTGAGGTTTTAAATTATGTTAGGGGAAAGTAATACATTTTGTATTGATATAGTTATTTTTCTTTCCTAACACAGGTTTCCTTTTTGATTTTTAAATAAGAAGTTATTAAAATGATGTATATACATCTCACGTTTTCTCAGCATGAAACATAGAAATTAATTGTGTTAGTTATCATCATTCATTAGCTTCCATTTCAGAGCAAATGTAGGGTCGTATTAGTGCTTCTTTCTCCATCCTTATACAATTCCTGAGAAAGAAGTCATGATTACAATGTGTGACTATCTCAGTGGAAAGAAAAACTCATGGGAGACTGTCTCTTGGGCTTGCTCAGGGAAGTCAAAGGGATAATGGGTCTCCGGTCCTCTTTATTTCCTCACATTAGCCTCTGCAAGTATTGGGCTGCTGAGCTAAGTGCAGCTGCTGATATAGGAGCTGTCACTAGCTTCCAGTGTGTGACATTGGTAATAGCCACAGGAAGACCTAACAGGCATCCTTCCTGTCCCATTCACACGGCAGCCGCGCCTCCTGATTGGACTGGGACCCAGGATGTCTTCAGGATACTGTGCCCTGGCACCTTTAAGGAGCTCTCTTTCTCTTGCCCTAGAATACGGCCTTGGAGATAGTACCCTATCTTCTCCATCCATCAATAGATAATGTTTCAAGGTCTTCCTGTCCTAAGGTATTTTCTAATTCAGCAACTGCAAGAAGTTGCTACATAAACAGCATAAGCTGAATTTTGCTTATTGGAAGGACTCATTTCTTCTCTTTTAGGGTCTTCATGTATTTTTCCCCATGGACAAAGTTATTGCTGCCTTCAAAGTTTTGCAAACAAGAAATATATGACAGAGGATTAAAAAAGTTTATCACAAAAATGCACATATAGCTCATGGGAGAGTGGGCATGTTTTGAATAAAATTCTGCTCTTACTCTTCAACTGTAGTATTCCATTTCTTCCTTAAAGTGATATACCGCTACCAGAATTTCAAATAGTAGCTTCATGAAAAATACTATTAAAAATATACTTCTTTTTTATCCAGTAACACTGTATATTTTTCTTCTCTGATTTGATATAGTTACAAAGTTGCTTTTCCTAAGTGCTTTTTGAAAAAAACTTAGCACAGATTATTTACACAGTAAAATATTTGTGCCCTGTGTGAAAATCCCCTTTCATTAAAAATGTCATACTTTAAAAATTTTTCTATTTTTTATTGGGGTATAGTTGATTAACAATGTCGTGTTAGTTTCAGATGTATAGCAAAATTATTCAGGTATACCTATAGTTATATTTATTCTTTTAAAAATTCTTTTCCTATTTAGGTTATTACAGTGTATTGATCTCTACAGCAGGTCTGTGTTGGTTATATATTTTAAATATATCAGTGTGTATATATCAATCCCAAACTTTCAGTCTATCCCTCCCTGCCCACACTTCCCTTCTAGTAACTGTAAATTCATTCTCTAAGTCTGTAAGTCTATTTCTATTTTGTAAATAAGTTCACTGTATCATTTTTTAAGATTCTTCATATCATCTGATACTTGTCTTTCTCTGATTTACTTCACTTAGTATGATAATCTCCAGGTCTATCCATGTTGCTGCAAATGGCATTATTTCATTCTTTTTTGGTTGAATAATATTCCTTTGTATATATGTACCACATTTTCTTGATCTATTCATCTGTCCATGCACATTTAGGTTGCTTCCATACCTTGGCTATTGTAAATAGTGCTGCGGTGAACACTGGGGTGCTTGTATCTTCTTGAACTATGGTTTTCTCTGAATATATGTCCAGGAGTGGGATTGCTGTTTTTTATTTTATTTTTTTGGATTGCTGTTTTTTAAAGGAATCTCCATACTGTTCCCCATAGTGGCTGTACCAGTTTACATCCCCATCCACAGTGTAGGAGGGTTCCCCCAAAATGGTACATTTTTAGTATTTTTATTTTCCTTATCCACTCTTGTCCATTAGGCTGGTATACAGAGAGGTACTTCTGATTTGAAAGGACTGTGTTTGGTACTGAGCAACTTCTATTTTTACAATAGTCTTTAAAATTTTAAATTAAAAAATTTTTAAATAGTCTTTAAGACTTTTTCCTTCTAATAGACATTAGTAATTTAGGCTGAAAAAAATTTAATAAATTAATATATCAACTGACTTTTACAAATTTTCCTAATATATACCATGAAATCACCTACATGAGCTCAAAGAAAGGCAAAAAAAAGTATAGGTGGAAGAACATTCAGGAAATAAATGCATTTTGCATTATGTTTAGGTTTTTTTAAAATGAGAAAATGAAGTAATCAACTTACTGTAAATAGCATTATATGAGGGCCTAAGTTCTGTTGACTTTCGTCCTCATAGAGCTGGGAATCCTATAAATTCTTTCTTTACTTTGTGACTCTCATCTTCCCTAATCCCCAAGAAAACAGAACTATGCTCTGAAACGTATAATTATTTTTTTGAATGTAATTTTAGAGATTTTGAAATATCTCAAGCTCAGGAAAATTTAGATCCCTTGGAATGTCTTTTAAAATTTGGGAACAACTGAGTTGCTTGCCATACGCTGGCCTCCCTTCCCATCCGCTCACACATCTTACACAAGAACTCAAGTGAAGGGAGACAAGGAAATGGAGAACAGAGACTTGGGTGTGTGGGGAAGGGGGAGGTGAGGAGGATCATGACTTGTTAAAATGGAGGAAGAAAGAGTAATCCATAGAAGGTGGTGAACAGATTCTCTTTTGTTTTCTTACCCATCCCCCCTTTTTTTGGTCTTTTGGGGCTAATTGAAGATGGATCAGTTTAAAGCTTTGTTTCAAGAAGATTTTGTTTAGCTATGAGGATTATGCAAACCCTTCCCAAAGGGGATTGTGGCATCACTGGTTTTGGAATCTAATTTAGCAAGCTTTCTGGAATGCAAGATTCACCCCTCCCTCCTGCCTCACTGGTGCACCTCCATCCAGGATTCTGTGACCTGAATTACCTTAGTGGGTAACAGAGGCCTCCAGTCAAGGTTGAGTTCTATTACTGCCCTCTCATCTTGCTTTTATTTCTGCATTTTCATCTCCATATTTGCCTCAGACTTCCTAAAATACAGCGGGACTAGGATGGAAGTATTGTGCCATGGTGGGCCCCTGCATTGAAATACTTTGTGAGCAGGTGAAGCTCTTTACCCAGCCATCTATTTCTTTTGCGATTGCTTTTTGAGCCCTGCCACCAACTTGTACGAAGTTGAGAAAAATCACTTCCTCTCTTGGGTGGCAGATTTCCAGCTGCAAAATTAATTATCCACTTGCTTCCATCACAGGGTGTTGTAAGGGTCAGCAAGCCTGAGTTTGTGAAACTCTTCACCGTGCTAATCAGAAAGTTGTTCTGTTATTACAGTTTTGTTTTTTTAAAAGTTCTCTTGCTCTCCAGGGTTATTTAAAAAGCCAAACAGACTTCTTATAATATGTTTGCATTTCAGGCTTTTTTTTTTTTGACACTTCTTATGAAAATGTTAGTTTGGAGAAGAAAGGATTAGGTAATGGAGGAAGTTATTTGAAGCATGATTTGCCTGATAAGTGCTAAGAACTCTGTTAGAGGTTGAGAATATAAGAATCAACACTCCTCTCAGAACACTCACAATTCAAAGTAGGTGACCAAGTACGAATTTCACAGTAAGAAGGATGGGGAAGATACAAGGGAATGTCAGAGAAGGAGTCCTTTATTTCTAACTACTGAAGGATGGCCAACATAGAGTAGTTTTCCTGAGAGGGAACTCTATGATAAAAGAGATCTCAAAATACACAAAAAGAATTTGATTTAGATTCACTTAAAAATAATACAAGCAAATACCTGTTTGAAATGACACGTGACACTCCCAGTTGTAACATGGTTAAACATTGTTGAAAATGAACAGTTACAATTTCTCCCTCCTTCCATCCTTCTGTCCCTGTGTCCCTACTTCCTTGAATTTCCAGCCTGATCTTATCACTAGGGACGTGGTATCCGCTCTCTCCCACCCTCTCTCCTTCTTTCTGAAACTGCAGTCTGATGTTATCACTGGACATGATGTAATAGCTCTGCCACTTTGAATTGAGGTTACCTTCTTTGGGACGGCTCTCTCATAGCAGATTTTCAAAGAAATCAAACTTGGCCTCTTCCAGTTATCCCTTCAGCTACAGGCTAGGGTCTGGTCCTCCCTACATTCTTACTTCTTCCTCATCTGCCTGTTTATTTTAGGTAATGGGACTTCTGACCAACCACGGCGGGGTACCCCATCAACCCCAGACTGACTACGCGCTCTCGCCTCTCACTGGGGGCCTGGAACCTACCACCACGGTGTCGGCCAGCTGCAGTCAGAGACTAGACCATATGAAGAGCTTGGACAGTCTGCCGACCTCTCAGTCTTATTGTCCACCCACCTATAGCACCACGGGCTACAGTATGGACCCTGTCACGGGCTATCAATATGGGCAGTATGGACAAAGTAAGCCTTGGACTTTCTAGGGAGTGATTATTCCTGGAAGAGTGAAACACTTTAACTCTTCCTGGAGAAAGGGGAGCTGCAAACATGATTAAGCCTTCCATCCCGGTATCAATTTTGTGGCAAAGCCAGCTGGTTGTTCCAGCAAGGGCTTCCTTGTATAATTATTTTCTTAACTGATGTCAACAACCTCTTGTGGTTATTAATTGCTGAGACGTGAAAGCTGATTGCCACTAGGTAAAACACAAGTGTTGGCCCAAATGAAATAACCCCTCGCATTAGAAACACATGTTCTTAATGAGGTCAGCTCAAGGATCATATGGGGTATAATCCCCAGGACACAGAGTTCTGTCAAACTTGTCTCAGGAATAAAAATATTAGTCTCAATCCTTTGATACCCCGGTATTAAATATGACATTGTCAGCCTGTAGCTGATTTTGCCCCTTGCTGTGAATTGTCCCAGCCTGACCTGAAAAGCTGCATATGTTTCCTTACAGGTGCCTTTCATTATCTCAAGCCAGATATCGCATAAGTGAACTGTCCACTTGGAGTGTAAACTGGCCCTGTTTCCGGTCTCCACAGCCTAGACATGAAGAATCTTCTCAGAAAAAAAAAAAAAAAATTACCCTCTTGGGGGGTCAGTCTCGACAGGAGACAAAGGAGAATGATTGATTTTCTTTCTCCAGTAGTTGGTTTCAAATTCTTTTGAACGTGTCGAACAAAAGCAGTGGAGAAAAGGAAGATCCGGAACAATAAAAGACAAATGCAACATTTTAAGGCAATGATTTAACATGGCTATATATCAAATATCCCAACTCTAGTGCAGATGATCAAGGAGCTAAAACATTCCACTTGTGTGTGTGTGTGTGTGTAAGGCAATGATTTAACATGGCTATATATCAAATATCCCAACTCTAGTGCAGATGATCAAGGAGCTAAAACATTCCACTTGTGTGTGTGTGTGTGTGTGTGTGTGTGTGATTTATTTCAACTGGTTTGGGTAAGCAGAACGTTCTGAAAACATAGTCGGAGAAGAAAGCAGAACAAGTTGGACGTCCGATGCTGACACTTGTACAACTTTAAAACTGCTCGCTCCATGAAGCAGGAACGGAGGAGTCTTGGACACACTGGAAAAGGATATAAAAATAATGCCACCGTTTTTAGGAAGTTAGACTAGATGTAAAGATCTCCCAATAAATTATTTGTTATCTTACCCTCATCTGTAATTCGGTTGTCGACACATGTCCTGGGTGGACACATCTTGCTAACAGGATTGGGGGGGGCGGGAATCCAGGAGAAAAGCTTGTTTTCTTTCTCAGTGTGGAAGAGGTGTGTGACATTTGCCCAGCTTATTTTCATTCGGAAGCTAACCTGGGGTGGGGGGTAGGGTGAAGAAGTGGTGCGCATTCCCAGAGCTGCTTATCAGAGTGCAATACTGTGTACCTCACGGATGCTTTGGCAAAGGCCAGGGCCCTAGAAACAGAAGCAGAATTCTATTTTTGCAGGTGCTTTATTTTTTGCAGCCCATGATTCATTGTGGTAGAATGCAGTGACGTTTGCCATTTGCTGGACGACCAACACCCAGCTTGCTCCTTTTGATGAGAGAACATGTTCGAGAGTAATCCTTTTTAAATGACTACGTTTACATTCTTCTCTTTTCTATGAAAGGCAGGGCAGCAATACTGATGTCCGTGTTGGCTCTCATGTACTTTTAAATTATACAATAATATCCAATATGGAAAGATAATAGGAACTGAGGTTTACATATGTTTGTGTGGTGACATTTTAGAATGTCAATAAATTTGTTTTTTGAGGTGTTCAGAGGAACAGGACGGTGGAAGGCAGTGTTATTTATTTCTTTCTATTCTTGGAACCATGAATGAGGTAGGCACAAATACATTCCTTTTAGAGTTAAGAACTATGATGTAGTGAGTTAGTGAGATTAGACATAGTACTGAGTTTAGTTCCTACGTTGGTCTTAGAGGGTGATGGATCGAGAGAAGAGCTATCTTCATGTTGCAGCCTCAACCAACAACGATGTGTTGTAAAAATGTCTTTCCTGTAAAAAGGTGCAGTAAATATTTACTATTTATAATGAATAAACAGTTATGAAAACTTGCCCAACACTGATTTTTTGGGGGGAACTGGTGAATGCAGTATTAATAACAACGTGGAAATGTAGAACCATCAAAGTTTATGCTTCACTTATATTCTAATGCCTTTTAGATTAAACTAGCAGTCCCCACTCATTTTGGGACCAGGGATTGGTTTCATGGAAGACAAGCTTTCCATGGGCTGGGTAGGCAGAGGGCATGGTTTTGGGATGATTCTCTTAAGGAGCACACAACCTCCACACCTTGCTTGCTCAGTTCACTGTTGGGTCCCTGCTCCTATGGGACCATCAGAATTAGAATCTAATGCCATCACTGATCTGAAAGGAGGTGGAACTTAGACAGTCATGTGAGCCATGGGGAGTGGCTATGATACAGAGAAGCTTTGCTCGTTAGTCTTTCACTCACCTCCCACCATGAGGCCTGGATCTTAACAGTCCATGGTCTGGGGGTTAGGGACCCCTGGATTAGACTATCACATGGACATATAAGGTCACACAACCCACACCTGTGTGTTCTTGATGAAGCTTGGTTGAAAATATTTTTAAGGACTGAAGTTTGTATTTTAATAGGTGTGGAATCTCTTCGTAGACAATCCCTTCGAGGCCAGCTTCCTATCCCCCTGGTTCTCTCAGAGCTATCAGCTCCCTTCATAGTCACTTGGAAGCGTGTTTTCCCTCAGAGAATGTCATTTCATCTTCATTGTCAGCAGTCATGTCCACTGAGATTTTTATTGAAAGCTCTCATATTTTGTTCTTCTGTTTTGGAAGCTTGTTTTACTCTTCATGAGAAAGCATTACTGCCTATTTTATTCATTCTTCTTCCCTCCCTCCCTTCCTCCTCTTCTGCTGTTCTCCCCCCTCCCTTTCCTCTTCTTTTCCCTCTCTTTGTTCCTTCAACACTTTGTTTAAACACTTATTTAATGAGAGTCTAAATGTGCCAGCCATGTACTTGGCCTTGGTGTTACAGCAGTAATTATAACCTCGTGGGTGAGACAGATAAGCAAATACATGGCTGTAGTAAAGCATGAGGACTCTCTATTGGCGAAATGATCATAACACTCTTTGAAGCTCTTACTTGTGTTTATTCCTCCCAACATCTTATTTGAGGCAGATGATGTCATTAGCATTCTTCTTTTAGGTAAGATCACCCAATGGCAGAGCTGGGATGTAAACCCAGGCAATCCAGCTTCAGAGCCTGTGAGCTTCAGCTCATTCTCTCTGCTTCCCCAAGGCTAGACTGGTGTGAGAGAACCTTATAATAAAGGAATACCATCGAATTTGGTCTCCTGCACTGCGGGCAGATTCTTTACATCTGAATCACCAGAGAAGCTACAACAAACCATGTATGGCTATTTAAACAAGTAATTGAAAGTAAATAAAGTTCAGATTCCACTTGCACTAGCCACATCCCCAGTGTGCGAAGGCCACGTGTGGCCAGAAGCTTCCACACTGGGCAATAATAAACAACAGCCCACCATCACAGAAAGTTCTGTTGTTCAGCACTGATCTAAAAGCACCTGCGTGTGTGCTAAGTTGCTTCAGTCATGTCCAACTGTAGCCCGCTAGTCTCCACTGTCCATAGTATTCTCCAGGCAGGAATATTGGAGAAGGTTGCCATTTTCCTCTCCAGGGAATCCTCCTGACCTAGGGATTGAACTCACGTCTCGTACATCTCCTGCATTGACAGGCAGGTTCTTTACCACTAGTGCCACCTGAGAACAAAGCACCGGAGCTCATTGTTAAAAACTCCAAGGACTCACAGTACTGTAGATTAAAATGTCCAAATTCTTTAAATGCCTTAAGGCCTTTTAAGCACGGACACTCATCCTTCCAAGTCAATATGTTTCCCCTTTTCTGACAATCATTTATTCCAAAAATAATACAAGGAGAGGAAGATAATCCTTACTGAATGCCTACTCTTGTAATCTAGCTTAATCTTTACAAAATCCTGTGAGATGGCAATTATAAGCCCCAATTTATAGATAAACAGACTGAGGTCCAGAATTGTTCATTAGTTTGGGTGAGGTCACACGCCATCAGAAATAGCAGAAGCAGACTTTGACTTCCATTCAATCTGGTGGTGGAACTCTTTATTACTATATCTGTGCAAATCCTGCTTGTGGTACTCACTTCATTATGTCAATCTATCTTCATGCCAAACTCAAGTTGAAAACAAAGTAAAGGAAAAATCATTCACTCCCAACACACGAGAGAAATGCTACCAGGCCGTGGGATTACTCAATAGAAACTGATCTTACATATCACTTTCCCTTCCCTTCTAATCTCAGAACTTGCCATATGTCGCTCATACCTCTTTTTGATACTTCTTTATGCCCTTCTCTTATTTCTACATGTCTCTGAGATCTGTTACTCTGCTTGTATTTCTTATGTTGGAAGTCTCTATAGATCATTTTCCCCTGACTTCTTTTGGTATCTAATCCATCTCCAGGGTATTGGGGCTCTGACTTCCCCCAGTCCTAAACCCTAGTTGGGGTCTCTGCTCTTACCCTCTGGGACAGGCAGCCCTCAGGACTTTGAACTCTCAGCATTCAGCTGAGTTCAAACTTGACTTTATGAAGGGCTTCCCCTTTGTCCGTGTAGTTATACACTTTGATCTAAAAACCTTAAATGTAAAAACTGAAATTTAGAGCTTGAAATTATTAAATAGTGAAGTATGAATGTTAACTGCTGAGTTGTTTCTTGACAGCAATTTTCCTAGAAACTGACACATTTTGAGCCTGCTAAGGAAACAAACATATTGCTTTAGGCTTTTAATTAGCCCAGTTTGAAAATGCATGTTCACACACATTTTAGATATTTGGAGAACATCCTTTGTTAGAAGGGATCTTCATTAGTGTTGGCATACAGAACCAGTGTAATCGACCAGGTCACTGGTTGTGAATTTAGAAAGAGACGTAAATGGGGGTGGGATGGATTAATTAATGCTCTTTGTGTGTACATGCCATGGATGAATCACTCCTCAAACTATGTAATTGCTGCATGGAACCAGAACTGAGATCTCTTTGGAAGGAAATCCATTTTGGGGGTGAAGATTTGGGCCTCAACCATTCTGAGAATCTGGTTTTTGGTGTTTAATCATTTATGAGTAAGGAGCATGCTAAGTCGCTTCAGTTGTGTCCGATTCTTTGAGACCCTATAGGCTATAGCCCACCAGGTTCTTCTGCCCATGGGGTTCCCCAGGCAAGAATACTGGAGAGGGTTGCCATCCCCTCCTCCAGGGAATCTTTCTGACCCAGAGATACAACATGCATCTCTTGGGTCTTCTGCATTGGCAAGCAAGTTCTTTACTACTAGTGCCAGCTGGAAGTAAGGAGAGCTGGCATCAAACATCAACAAGTGACAAGTGGCAATATTTATGCAAGGAGATCCAGAGGCCTTGGACAAGCACTCATGGATCTTCAATCAGTGTTAGATGATATATATGCGAAGACAGGAATAAAGAACTTGATTTAGGGTTCTTGCCAAATGCCAGTGATATAAGCTAGTTCTATCTTTTTCATAGACCCACTCCTTGGTATTTCTGATAGGTACCCAAGTACCTAGTCCCACGTGTGACCCCAAATGAGTACTCAGTGCCTCCCTGTTGAATAAATAAATGAATGAAGAGTGTCTCAAAGTATCCCAACGTGATCTTCTGAAGAAGGATCT